ATTGAAGTTGGAATCAGCTCAAACTTTCTACACAGCATAAGTACATCAATATGTATCAGAAAATGTAATAAAAATTTGGGGTGATTTCGGAGCCATTTTTTGGAAAAAAAACCATGGGCTATAGCCTTGGGTATTTTTCAGATTTTTGACATTTTCTTAAAATGGCCGTAACTTGAAAAATTAAAGTCGGAATCAGCTCAAACTTTCTACACAGCATAAGGACATCAATATGTATCAGAAAATGTAATAAGAATTTGGGGTGATTTCGGAGCCATTTTTTGGAAAAAAATCATGGGCTATATAGCCTTGGGTATTTTTCAAATTTTTGACGTTTTCTTAAAATGGCCGTAACTTGAAAAATTGAAGTTGGAATCAGCTCAAACTTTCTACACAGCATAAGTACATTAATATGTATCAGAAAATGTAATAAAAATTTGAGGTGATTTCGGAGCCATTTTTTGGAAAAAACCATGGGCTATAGCCTTGGGTACTTTTCAGAAATTGCAACTGTTACATGTACAATGTGCATGTACATAAGAAAGATACGGTATTCATTCTCTTACTGTTTCATTTTCGTGTCTCATGTCCTTGGACTGTGCAATACTTTTTATGACGACATCAAAAAAGAACCAAATGTACTAAAGATAATAATAACAAAATAATAATTATTATTATTCATAATAGCAAAATTCACCTACAGATACATGTACATACATGTACATTGTACCCTCTCTCTCTCCTTCCCTCTCTTACCAGTAGTAGTTGATTCTCCTTGTCGTGTTTTCCTGTTACATACTCAACTAACAGTCTAACCACCTCCTCGTGGACAGTCTTGTCACTGATTGGATCAACAGTGGTCAGGAATGAATACTGGTAGAGATACATAATAATGACAATTACTATTTTTATTAATAATGTATTACTTCAACGTAAGATTTCAGTAAATCCTCTCTATTAAAACTAGTTATCTCCTTCACAATTGAAACTAGAACTCTAACAAAATAACAAAAATAATTAGTGAAGGACCAAAATGATTATACTGGTGATTTGGTATGGGGGAGAAACTTGGTATATTAGGTATTTTGGAAGCCATTATGGCTACAAATTTGCTGGCTATCATCAAATTTTTCTCCTCTTAAAATCATTTGTCAAGCAGCTGTACAGTATAATTATTACTGCATGTACATGTACATGTATTATTATTATTATTATTATTATTATTATTATTATTATTATTATTATTATTATTATTATTATTATTATTATTATTATTATTATTATTATTATTATTATTATTATTATTATTATTATTATTATTATTATTATTATTATTTTATTATTATTATTATTATTATTATTATTATTATTATTATTTTATTATTATTATTTAACGTTACTTAATCATATCCAGTTTGATCTCCTCCACGTGGTCAAATGATTGAGTCAACAGAATAAATAATCTATTCAATAATATCGGGAGGAACTTCAGTGACTCCTCATCAAGATCCTCCAAACTCTGCAATCAAAATAACACAATTAATACATGTACATGTACTGAAGTGTCAATTAAGATACATGTACATATACATGTAAGTGTATTTGAAGAAATCCAGATTTAAAATTAGAATCAGTTCAAACTTTCTATGCAACTTCAGTACATGTACAATGTATACATGTAACACATGT